GGCCAGACTGTCAACATCAAGAATTTGCGAACGGGACTTTGGGCGTGATGCTCAACGAGTTTGCCTTTGAATTCTAAAGGTCTCTGAAGAGTCTCTTGGTCTATTAACTTAATAGACAAAACTAAACAACTCTGTTTGTTAAAACACAATTACTGGTTTTCAGTGTCACGCCATTCAAAATAGATCAAAATAAAAATCAAAACCGTTCAATCTGAAATAAAGTCCAGAATCTGGGAAATGAAAGAAAGTAAATATGCAGACTCTTGCCAAGATTCTGGCCACAACAATTTTTCTTATGCAAGATATGCGGAGAAATTTTTTTACCCAAACTTATAGAGGTCTGTATGGAGACGCCATACTGGTACCCATCCGTATGGGCACCAACATGGCGGCCGGAAACCAACAGACACATCTGTCTCTGAGTTTTGCTACAAAGGCGTGAATTTATCCCTCGAGGAACTCTAACACATTAAAATAGTACTTTTTCTAAGACATGAACTGTGCAGATATCCAAATAGGCACTTTGCAGGATCCGGTGACATGGTACGGAATTAATTACGCTGGGACGCAAGTTACGCAGTGGGACTTCCAAAACAAAGGAAAGTTGGGCTGGACTGGTACGAGTTCCTCTGTTTAGGAAGTCCCACTGCGTAACTTGCGTCCTAGCATAATTAATTCCGTACCATGTGACCGGATCGTGCAAAGGGTCTATTCCCCTAAATAAGTCACTTTGTTAACCATAATGACAGCTCTGTAGGCCGTCATGTAAATGCTGCGTCACGCAAAAGCTTAGAATTTCAAGGATAGTGTATCACAAAACCAAGAACCCATTCGGAGCGAAAATTTGTATAAATATTAGTTTTCAGCTGCTCTTATACATTATTAAAGTGAAATCTTAGGAAGATCAATAGTTTTGTAGTTTGAATTTTGGTGACGTCATGTGAAAACCAGCTATAGATCTCCCTGGGAGGTTTATTTATGGCTTGTGAATGATGTAATGGAATTATTTTAAACTACAGTGGTCGATAGATTTTTCATTATAAAGAGGTGAAATTTTAGAAATATACTAATTCCTTGAACAAGTAGCTGAACCAGACGTCTGTTTCCTGAATTCAGAGTGGAAATTTGCTGGTGGATGAAACTGAACTTGAAGCACAAATTAAACGAAATATATCATGATGTTTTCAAAATAAGAGCGCCTTCAATCCGTTGAGCATCTCGTTCTTGCTATATTGGAAAAATATACGAGAAAACCTTTTCTTCGAGATTTGTTTTTATTCGAAACGTTAATCGTCAAAACATTGACTAAATCGGCGTAGAAAATTACAAACTGGCGTGGAACTGGGAGCGAGTTCAAAATGTCACGCCCGGTTAAGCCGGTAATATGCTAATTTCTATGGTTCTGGAACTCGGGAACCCTTTTGTGCACTTTTACAATACAAAGACAAAGCAATCATTCG